AGTGACCAAACTTGAACTATTGAACTAATCTTAGTGACCATGAATGGAATTAAATATTTGCAGTGACCAAACATGAACGGTTTTAGTAAACCCAGTGACCATCCTTGCAATTAACCCTAATAATTGAATATGAACATTTCGAGAAAATTTGAACAAATTCTGAGATACTTTACTTTTATTTGAAATGGAAAAAAGTTACACCGAAATGAAACTTCATTCATCAAAATTACAAAGACTTTGAACAATTTCGGAGATGCCTTTTTTTTAGTTGAATGGAAGAACGTTCCAATTTTTAAATATTTTTTTTATTTTCAAATAGCAATCGAATGGTTGAAAGTTATATCGACAGGAATTTCGTTAGTTAAAAACACTCACAACAATACAAGTATATTCAATTTAAATACTAAAACAAAGAAAAGCTAAAATTAGCTCCCGCCATTTTAGCCCCCTCTTAAAATCCCCCTAAAGAAGAGCTAAAATAGCCCCCTAAAACCCCTTATAGCCTTTTCCCCCAAATTTGCCCCATAATTGAAGATGATTTATTGGACTAAAAGGGCAAAAGGTTGTGAACAGCCTTATTACAATACTACTACATCACTTTACCTGTTTTCCTTTTTTTTTCTTTTCTTTCTCCATATATACTTTATGCCAAGGCACCTATTTTAATAAATGTAATTTGCTGTTTTCTAATCCATCATTTTCCTGTCAATTATGTATGAAGAGCTTTTATACAATGTTTTAACCAAATAACTCAAAATTCAATCACAAGAAGTATGCAATTACATATTGGGTAAATTGCAAGGTTGGTCACTGTGATTACTAAAAACGTTCACGTCTGGTCACTGGAAATACTTAATTTCATTCGTAGTCATTGAGATTACTAAAATTGTCCAAGTTTGATCACTCTCCGTTAACTTTCGTTAGTCTCCGTTAACGGCGTCAGTTTTGCGCTGACGTGACTAACAAAAATGCCTAATAAGCATATACAGACCCACCACGTCATTAAAACAAGCCACATAAGAGAATCCACCCAACCCATGACCAAACCCTTCTTGACCAACCCAACCTCAAAATATATCTACGCTGTTCTCTCTCTACCCCAATACCCCTCCTCTGCTCGTCGCTGTCCTTCCATCTCGGAGCTTAATCGCCTGGCAGATTGACAAAATTCAGGGTCCCGGAGTTTAATCGTTGCACTTCCCTTGCCGTCTTCCTGGGCATGTCGATTATGAACGCGTAGGCATTTGGGTACTCCTTTACGTCCGCAGGAGTCTCCGCCATCGCTTTGGCGTTCCTCACGTACGTCCTCGTCGGCGCGTTCGCTGGAGAAGAGTGAAGACGAGGACTTGTTGCGGTGCCGGTGACGTTCGCATCCGGCTCCTTTCCCATGGATTCTACCATGTGTTATAGGTCTGGAGGAGTGCATAGTCGAATCCCACGAATCGGAGATCTGTCGCTTCTTTTTATTCTAAGATTGCTGCTAAGATTTGTTGCTTTGTCTGATCTAAAATTCCTTGATTCTGTGGAATGGATAGACATGGATAGTGGTTTATATAGAGATGAGAAGAGGATGTTTGGAAAATCTTTGGCAATTTCTAAATAGAAAATTGAAAGGGCCCTCCTTGCAAACCTTAAAATAGAGGTTGTTCGATTGGAGTTGGTGAGCATGAAGATGATGTAAGAGAGGGAGAAGCAGAAGGCAAGGGCCGAGGAGGCGGAAGGGTTTCTGGGAATTTGGGGATAAGGGTTTTTTCAATCTAGTCATACAGAGTTGGGTTGGTTGGGTTTGGGTTTCTTATGTGGCCGGTTTAATGACGTGGCAGGTCAGGTTTTGAGTTTGGTCAGGTTTAAAATTGGGTGACTGGATATTTCTGTTAGCCACATCAGCGAAAACTGACGCCGTTAATGGAGACTAATGGAAGTTAACGGAGAGTGACCAAACTTGGATGATTTAAGTAACCTTAGTGACCACTAATGGAATTAAATATTTGCAGTGAGCAAACGTGAATATTTTTAGTAATCTCAATGACCAATCTTGCAATTAACCCATTACATATTCGATCATTGATTGTAATGAATATGAGCTTTTTGGCACATAAAGGTTCATTCAAATTTATGTCAATAATCTCTCCAACATAATAAATCAAAGTTCAATCACAAGAAGTATACACTTGCATTTTCAATCATTAATTACAAAATGAAGAAGAGCTTTTTGACACACCAAAGCATCCCAATAAAAGGAGTCAACCTATAAGTCATTTGGTAATGTGCGGCATGTATGTCAATACTCATATCCGGCCCATACTTAGTATGAATCATGTAGAGTAATACATGTACGAGTCAGGGAGGGACATATCAAATCATTCTGATATAGTATATGAGAACGAACAACAATTTAATTTTTTATGAGAAAATGGATGGAAAACACTTCATACATGAAAATTGATATAATAAATTGAATAATTGAGTCTAATTTGTTGAAAGCAAGGTTCAAGAAAACACTAGATGCTAGAAAAGCTTTAGGGTCCTATCTAACGCCTAGCACACCTAAGCGGCGCCTAGGAGTTTTAAGTGAAAAAATAACGGGGTTTAGTAGAAATAACAATTTTATAGCACTTTTTTACTTTGTTCAATTTTTATATGATTAATAACTTAGCTAACTATTCATAAAAAAACATATGTCACCTTCAACGACAAGCAAAATATGTCATGACTTCTTAGAATCACAAGTTTATAACAGTCGTCGGTTGTGGTTACTCTGTAGTGGACGATTGTAAGAGCATGACAGAGGTTCTGTCGACCGGAGCTAGAGAAGAATTGAAAAGGCTGTGGGTTTGGGCTTACCTGTGGTTCACAACGTGAAAAAAAAACAGGGAAGAGAGTCAGGTCTACTGTAGTGGGAGAAGAATTGACAAATTGTGGATTGTGGCTTCTCTATAGTCAGCAACACGTAAAGCAGGGCAAAGGGCGAAAGCGATGGAGTGAAAGGAGAAGCCATTGCCATTCATGAGTTCAAAGTCTTTGTCTCATTAACATAGAAATTCAATTCCCAATAGAAGAAGGAAGAGCGAAAATCTTGTGGAATATAGGGTTGTTGGAGATCCGCTTTGAAGGTGATGCTAAAGTGTTCAATTTTTATATGATTAATAACTTAGCTAACTATTCATAAAAGAAAAAACATATGTCACCTTCAACGACAAGCAAAATATGTCATGACTTCTTAGAATCACAAGTTTATAACAGTCGTCGGTTGTGGTTACTCTGTAGTGGACGATTGTAAGAGCAGGACAGAGGTTCGGTCACCGGAGCTAGAGAAGAATTGAAAAGGCTGTGGGTTTGGGCATAACTGTGGTTCACAACGTGAAAAAAACAGGGAAGAGAGTCAGGTCTACTGCAGTGGGAGAAGAATTGACAAATTGTGGCTTGTGGCTTCTCTGTAGTCAGCAACACGTAAAGCAGGGCAAAGGGCGAAAGCGATGGAGTGAAAGGAAAAGCCATTGCCATTCATGAGTTCCGAATCTTTGTCTCATTAACATAGAAATGCAATTCCCAATCGAAGAAGGAAGAGCGAAAATCTCGTGGAATATAGGGTTGTTGGAGATCCGCTTTGAAGGTGATGCTAAAGTGGTCATTGACAAGATCAATCAATCAAGTACCCGGGATAGTAGGGGGGTGGGCGCAATTTTTGAGGAGGTCCAACATTACTTCGCTCTTTATAATGGACTTAGTGTACGATTTGTAGGACGACGTAACAACATGGTAGCCCATGTGGTGGTTAAAAAAGCCCTTTCATTGTACCCGACTACAAGTCGATCTTTTGATTTTCTATCCTGGTTGAATTCCAGGCTATAATTATCTTTCTTTTAATCAATATATATGGTTATCTTTTGTCAACAAAAAAACATGATTAAGCGTGTCTCACTTCAATTAATCACAGACCAAATGGCGCCTAGATGCTATGAACTCTTAATTGTTTGTTTAGAGGCTAGGTGAAGCATTTTGTTATTGTCTAGCGCCTTAGCACGCCCGGACATATGCAGAATTACACCTTAAACTATCATTGAAACATTGCTTCTTATGGATAACCATGATTCAAATGACTAATCAATACAAAGTGGAATAAAAATAAAAGGTCTACAAGAAATTAGTGGGCAGCCTAGATACAATCTGGGCTCCCACCCCCTTAGCGACAGCAAAGCTAAGTCTAGTGAAAATCTACGCGGCTGCCCGATCCCCCGCATCCTGAGACACAGAGAATTTTTGGATGCGCTTAAGCAAAGCCACAACATCCGAATCCAACTCCCCCAGTGAAGAGAAAGAAAAGGGCAGGAACCCGTAACCATCCGCCATGCACAAGTCCCGATACTTAGCACACTTTCATCAGCTACAACTCGGCCGGGCACAAAATTGGTCATCCCAGTCTGAGTCAAAGGGGAAGACCTAGTCAGATCAATACACACATCTCGCCCCCTATCCCAGGAATAAAGCAGCAAATCCGCAGGACGAAGGGGTCCGCCATGCCCATCAACCAAACCGATATCAACCTCCTTTCCGACAGAAATCCCAGACCTGTAACAGATGTCCAGTAAGGTGTCTCGAACGAGGTTATGCCGATGCTTAATGCCCACAATACCAGCACAGGACACAACATGATCCCCAAAGACATCACCATCAAAGACACGAGAACAAGCAAAACAGGGCCTAGATACCAAAAATAATGGTATACCCAATCGATAACTAAGCACACTACGATATGTCCTTCCATTCATAGTCTGGCCCAACCCAGCAATAGGGACAACACACAACCAATCAGAAGAGTGCGCACTCTGCTGGGACTTCCACAAAGCAACCTGCCACGTAGTCATCGAGAAAACAGAGTTTGAAGAAGCAGCAACCTTCACGAAATATATGTCGCCCAATTTCTTCATAAGTTTTGGGACAACAACTTCACTAGAGTCACGTAAGATATCAGAACCTGTAAACTCGTAAACTCATTAAATGTGGTAGGACATCATCAAATAAATTTAATCAAATTTATGAATAATATAATGTAAGATCAATAATGGTTTCATTGAGGTGAAAAATAAATCGCACGAGCCATGTCAGAAATTGGCAATCACTACTTAAACCAATTGATGCAACCAGTTGGGCCTCGATGCTCGGCCACACAAAGGAAGCTACAAAGTGAAAGAACCCACTTAACAGGCTTAAGCCTGAAAAAGACTCAAAACAACCCAACGGGCTATCCCAGCAAAAGCCCACTTCTCCTTTCCCCAACGAACAGCCCATCCACAACAAGCTTCATAGCCTCTTGGGTCAAATGAAACCCGTCCCAGCTCAACCGGGTCGACGGGTCTTCACAAACCCGAAGCCCTTGTTTCCCGCAAACCTTTGCAGGATCAAAATTGAACTCCCCTCCTCTCCCTCCAGCGCTGCTGCTTCCACAGCATGCCTTGAACATCTCGTCCTTCTTGAATCCCAGCAGGACGTGGTTCCTTAGCACGGCCATGAACGCCTTGTAAGTGTCTCCAAAGGCGATCTCCACCTCCGGGTGACGGCTTCTGAGCTTTGACAGTGCTGATTGCAGATGGTCGTTGTGGACTCTTGAGAAGGTGTTCATTGATGCCAGGCAGCCATGGCGATCGTACGATAAGTAATCGTTTCTTCTTGGGTTACCAAGGATGGTTAGGTAGCCTGGAAGGCAGCCCATTGGGAGTGTTCCCGTTACTAGCACTTTGGTTGCTCCCATTTCTATCAGTTTCTGCAGATAGTGGAAAACAACGAAAATAACACAGTTATTAGAGAAGAATCATCTTATACCAATGCAGATGGGCAGAGAGACGAGAGTTACAAAAACTCCAACTCGATTCATGAAAGATCCAACTTTAACAATAGTGTTTGAGATACGAGCACACTCAAATTCAGTCCACAAGAACTACTAAACTGATTTGTGTTTCACACAGTTGTCTAGTTTAGTAAGACAGTTTGATTGGTAAGTCAGTCGAATTCAGTTTCATTTTTATGTACCTGAACAATGTATTGGGTGGTGAAGACTACTGAGTCCACGAATCCATAGCTCTCCTTGAGAGATTTGCCATTGAGGAAGGAGTACTGATAATCAGAACTCCCAATTTGGTCCAAAACGAAAACAGAATTCCGGAGCTTGCTCTTGCATTCTGCACAAATCCAAAACAAAGACCATTCCATATAATACAAGTTACAAAAACGAATCACCAATTTATCCTCCAAAAGTACCCACGAAATTCCAATCGAACTCAAGTAGCTAACTTCACAAACTGCGCGAAGATTTAGCTATTACCTTGGGGAGATGAGCAGAGGGAATCGAGCGAGTCGCTGAAAGAAACGAACTGCGAGTGCAGAGACCGGTTCCCGATTCGAACTCCCGCCGACAACCCGCTCCGGTAGAAGAAGGCATCGTCCATGGCGGCGGCCACGTCGTAATCGAACGTCTGCCGCTGGCCGAAGTCGGCATTCGGAGAAGGCAGATTGAATGCCGCGGCTGCAATTTTACCCAACTCGTCAGAGGGTTTTCTTTTTCTCGGGACGGCTAATCGTAAGAAGTCACGAAAATTGAAGTTACCTAGGAAATCGACCATGAGGAAGCCGTCGGAGGTGGCAGGATCGCCGTTCCCGAAGTAGTACATTGAATCGACGGCGGCGGGGGTGGCGGCGGGTAGAAGGAGAGGAAGAGAAGCCGCGATCAGGGCAAAGTAACGGAGAGCGAGTTGCGATGATCGGGACGCCATAATTGGGGAAATTGGATTCTGAGAGACCTCTTGAAATCTTGTTATATAGAATTCTCGTAGTTGAGTTGACGAGACTCGGGAACCAATGACTCGGTCCTGGACGCGGAAGAATTAGAATGGCTGACAAATGGTGGAGAAAGAAAGTAATTTTGGTGGGAAGTATCGAAGAATCGGAAAGGGTAGAGTGAAGAGAATGCTGTGCATTTCCGGCAATTGGTTTCATTCATTGTTTGGAATTAGAAATGCAGGGCCTGCACACCCAAGGGGCCAAATTTTAGAAATTCTGCGTCTCTCGGCCGGCCTGGCCAAAAAGATGGAGGGAGTAAGTTAGGGCCCCTTGTATTATTAAGGGATGGATAGGGTCATATCACTCCTTACAAGTTGGATTAAAAAGAAAATTACATTGAGCTCATGTTAGTTTATACTCATCGCTAATACCGCGACAATATCTTAACTATCAAATAAGTGTCATTTTTAGCTCCAATTATTCAAAATAACAATGATATCAAGAACTAAAAGCTTGTGTTGTCATTTATGTCTCTATGTTTTGCATTGACCGTTAGAGTTAACGGTTGATCGAATGAGGGTCAAACCATATTTGACTATTCGATGAAGTGGCCTCCGCCCTCCGTGTAGGTGCCACACCATAAAAAAAATGGTTTAGAAAATTTACTTTCTAGAAAAATTATTTGTCTGATTAATTAAAAAAAAATTCCAACAGTAATTTTATTTTAATTAAACTATTAATTTTATCAACAGTATAATTTATAGCTGAAAAGTAAAACTGCAACCCCCATTCAAATTTTCCTGCGCATAGAGTGATTTTAGGAGTCTGACGTGGCAGGGTGGTTACGCGGGATTAAATTAAAAATCCCCGCCTGACAGGAGAGATAAGAAACCGTCGGTTCCCACTACTTTTTTTGCGGTTGAAATCATCTTCCATTTTCTCCGGGGTCATCTGCGTTTTACTTTCTCCTTCCCGCAGCACGGCAAGATATCCATTTATCAGCGGACAATTTTGGGAACAGGGACTGACGCTTGCTGCTCAGCGGAGGAAGGCATTGACGGCCCGCTGATGTGGAGTTTACCGTGCCGAGATTCTGCAGTTTGGAACGAGCGGCGAACACCTGATTGAGTGAGGAAGACCTGCGGCTAATTGACGGTGAATTCCCCAGCCAACCGGCGAATCGAAGGTGAGTCATGATTTGTGGTATTTGTTTACCCCCGCTGATTCGAACAATCGGATTTGGTAGTTATGCGGTGAATGATTCTCCAGCCAACTGCCGATTTGAAGGGGAGGCGAGATTGTTTCGGTTAGTTTGCTCCTGCTGCTTCTCTCAATCCGGATTAGGTAGTTCTGCGTTGAACCCTTGCCAGCCAACCGACGATTTGAAGGGGAGTCAGTAATTTTTTCTGTTTGTTTTGCCCGGTTGCTTCGCGCTGTCAGATTTGTTAGTCTGATATATATGCGTTTTGGGGAAGCCAGCAATTCCTCTATTCGCAATTGGATTTGGTAGTCTGATCTGCATATTATCTATTACTGTTTCCATCATTTACTTCGCTTATCTTTAGTTTTATCTGATTGAGTTTCCATGTGTACCCAGCTAAATTGATAGGCCAACCCTTCTTGTACCTCCTGTGTCCGTATCGCAGCTTAGAAGGAGACCACGTCTTCGGCGAATTCGGCGACTACAAGCCCCTCGAAGCTAAGGAAAACAGGGGAAACCAGGGGAGCCGAGTTCCAAAGAAGGCATAAATAATTGAGCTCTGGTTTAGATCCCAGCTGCAACTGGTAGGTTTCTCGCCCTCTTTCATTGATATTCCATTTCAGTCTCCTTTCTGTTCCGGATATTTAGTTCTAAATTTGGGTTTAACCCATCGTACTTGATAGATTTGGTTCATCATCTTCTCCAATTCTTTTCTGATCGGAGAGACGACGACGGAACTAAATTATGATTACTGAGAGTGAACCATACAAGAAGAAAACGAGCTTTGTATTCGCATAAGGAGAAAAGGCGAGGGATGGGTTAGCGGCGGCGGTGGGTTTCTGACTCTCTTTAGTTAATATTCACTTTCTGACTTCTTATTTAGTGTGTTGATTTTTGGGTCTACGTTATGATTTTCCCTTACTATACTACATGGATTTGGTTCATCATTTTTGCCCGTTCTTTCAGATTAAAGGAACGACAACGAGAACTCGATGATGGCAGGAGAAAGTGGAAAATGAGCATTGGGTTTGCAGAGGAAAGAATAAGGATGATTAAGTTAGCGGAGTAGAAAGAAGGCAAAGTCAGGTAGTTCAAGTTTGGCGACTTCCTTTCAGTTTGATTGGGTGTTTGTGATAAGTCTTAGTTTGGTCAACATATGAGGACTTTCATGAATACAAAAAAGGCTAAGAGGAAGAAGAAGAAGAAGAAGCAACAACAGAGAATTAATTTTCCCTGGTCAAATCCCCTGGTCGCAGTTTACAAAGACATAGAAGGCAAAGAGAACGGCAGTGGAAGGAGGAATAAGAAGACGCACAAAATCGAAAAGGTGAAGAACTCTATTACGATTGTGAAGGAATAACGAAATCGACATGGTGGTGACCTTCTCTCTTTGCTTCTGTTTTTTTTTTTGTTTGTTTAATTTTTTGTGATTTATTCGCAGGTTAATGAGCTTATGCCAGTTTTGGGTACTTACCTTCCAAATAGCACATTAGGAAGCTTTCACTTGCCGAGTTCAACTTATTAATCAAGTGCTTGCCATCAATGGTGGTTTGGATGTGTTTGGCTCCATTTTATATCTTCCAGACCTTGCGGTTTGTACCTCAAATAGCTTTCGGATTATTGAGTTCTTACGTTGCTATTATGTTTACCTTCGCGATATGCATGATCACATAGAAATGGCCTTATTATCCGAGTTCTTATGCAGTGGCTGGGTACATTGATGTGGTCATTTCAGAAACGACAACTAACATGTAAGAGTAGTGACCTTCTTAATCAACAAGGTGCGCTACGAACTAAAGTCATGTGCTATGCTAATTGTTTGTATTGGTGTTCAGGGAAGAGTGCATCCGGAAGGGAAGATTACATCGTCATCAGTTCTGTCAAAATAAAGCGACCATAAACAAGACATGCCTTCTGCAGAACATAATGATGAGTGCTCCAATTTTCAACGGTTTATATATTTGTTTCCAGTTCTTTTATGTGTGTATGTCTTCTACGCCCGATGATTATGATTCGTTGATCCCTTTTTTCCTTTCAAGAGGAAGAGCATATATGCAACAAAAAGGACCAACAAAAATGATATAATCAAACACGATTGGCGATTCTCATGATGATGAGATTTGTGCTCTTTATGAACGAGCTTTCTCTTGGTACTTTTTTCTCCCTTGAATCTCTCATTTTTATAGCTGATGTTGTGTTATATCATGTTACACGGTCAATCACAAATCGTGTTTGGTTTCTAAAATTAGAATGAATCCAGGTTTGTGTTGCCTAGGGACTGTAACTTGTGATTACCTTTCATATTCATCTAAAAGTTTAATTTTTTATTTGTTATATTGGTATTGTTTTCAGGTATGGTTGGTATTTTAATTTGATTTTGGATACTCATAGGATAATTGTCAGTTCCAACCAGTACATGGATACTCACCTAAAATCAATTAGGTGATTTTCCCCATGTATTCGTTCCTACCCATTCACGATTCTGATTTTATAATTTTCCATTTTATAGGTTCCATTTGTTGCTATAGGTGTTTCCTACGAACTGAAGTATAGAGAAAAAAGTATATGTTCATGAATTTGAGATGCACGAGGGTGTTTGGTTTAGCCAATGCCCATGGATTTCGTAACCAAAGGTAGTATTCTGATTACTACCTTTGCTGCTTCTCTGTTTGTTGTCGCTTCAAACCTCCACTTATCATCTTACATATCATGGCAAGTTCTACGGCATAGGAATTGTGTCTCTTCATTTTACCAGTTTTTCCTTTAGATAGATGTGCTTTAGTAAGATGTTTTGTGTTCTGCACTTTTATTCAGAATTTTGTAGTAGGGTAGAATCAAGCGAAGACAAATACTTGCAGTAGGATTTATATAGAACGTCTATGTAAAAAATACATGTATTGCACTTGAGATCTTAATTAATACAGTTGGGTCATATATTTAATCCGTTTGTTTTATCTTCTTCGACACTGTACTTTTTAAGCTGTGATGTAAAACTTGCATGAAATTGACTTGCAATGAATGTCTGGATTTAGCAAGTGGCAATCTATTAACTTTGTACTCTTGGATGTGCCCTTTTGAATTTGTTAGTGTCCGGGACCTGCTTTTTCATATGACGATATAATCAGATAGCAAACTTTTCAATTCCTTACTTTGTTGTGGTCATGCTTTGATCCTTGATTGACCCAGGCTCATGAAAATCATCCTAAATCATATTAGCTATCTTGATGATATCGGATTGCTGCTGCATCTATTGTTTTTTAAAGTAAAGATTGGATTTTGCTTATATATGTTAAACTATAATCTATAGATGTTATTATGGGAAGGAGATGATGTTTCTCTGTATATGACCAATTATCTGACCAATTTGGTTGCAGAAAAATTGCTTGAAGCAATAAGACAGGAAGATTGGTTACTCATATAGACAAAGAACATAAAAAGAGTAATTGCATACCGAGTGAAAGGGATTTGGATATCTCTGCACAAAGAAAAGTCGGTATCACTTATTGGTTATTCATTTGATATTAAGTTCACTGTTTTTTTGTAGTTAGAATCTTATCAGCATCGAATAGTTAATTCTTAGATATTTTGTTTTTATGGTAGTGTGCTCTAATCCATTCCATTAGGCTGAGACTGTTTTGATTTGAGTTGACCTGAAGGAATCAGTAGCGAGCTTCCAATTGGGGTTAATGATTTTGAGATACTGAGCATTATTGATTGAGTCAATGTTCATAGATGCCTTAACCTAAGGTTTTTGTGTGATTCTAGCCTATGTTCTTTTCAGCTGCTGCTTCTTCTGTAAGTTCTTACACAACACATTTAGTATTTCTAAAATGTTGATCCCAAAAAAGTTAAGAAAAAGAACACTGAAATGCTTGATAATTTGTCTTTGATGGCAGACTATAGTTTCCAAATCATCTTCTTCTATCAACTGATTGTATAATCCCACCTTTTGCCTCTATTGCAAGAATCAACAAGGGAAACCAGAGCTACAGTATTTCCATTACATCACCCTTTGAGGCAAAAATTCCTACAGATCTTTATTGTCATGGGTCTGAAGTTTTAGTATAGGTGTGGAAGTTGTAGGAACATA